GCGGGGTCGGCAATCGGAGCAATATCGGGCAATATTTTCATGATTAAAATGTCCGTTAAGCGGATGGATTGGTGTTGGTTAGACTGTGACTGGGTAAGTGATGCTGCGAGGGCTGGAGCGCCTCTGCTCCGGAGACAGGCTAAGAGAGCTGGGCTGCCTCAGCCTGGAGAAGGGAAGGCTCCGGGGAGACTTTAGAGCAGCTTTGAGTGCGTAAAGGGGCTACAAGAAACCAGGAGAGTGGCTTTTGACAAGGACCTGTAGAGACAGGAGAAGGAGGAATGTCTTTAACCTGACAGAGGGGACACTGAGATGAGATCTTAGGAAGAAGTTCTTCCCTGTGAGGGTGCTGAGGCCCTGGCACACGTTGCCCAGAGAAGCTGTGGCTGCCCCATCCCTGGCAGGGTTCAAGGCCAGCTTGGGCAGGGCTTGGGAAGGTGTCCCTGCCCATGGCAGGGGGTTGGAACTGCTGAGCTTTAAGGTCCTTTCCAACCTAAACCATTCTGTGATATGATCAGTTCTGTGGTGTAGGGTTGCCGAAGTTGTGGTCCGTTACTGGCAGGTGAGAGGGAACATCATTCTTGTGCTCTGTGTGTGGTGCCACTGCTGGTGTTGGTCCTGGCTGTGCACGCATATTGGTGTAGTCTGGCATGTCTTGAAGGGAGTAATGTTGCATGAGCAAGGCAGAAAGTCCTTGGGCTGTTCTGTAGCTCCTGCCTTGCAGCCATGCTTATGCTTCTCTTGGCATTCTGTCTTTCAGAGGAATCTGCCTCTTGAAAGGTGTTGATATTCTGTCAACTGCATCAGGTCCAATTTAGTAAAAACTTTTGAGTGTTGACTTTGCTAAACCGTTGTCAGTCACGGAGACAGCTCTGCGTTCTTCCTGTACCCGTCTCTTCTACCCTGGAGGAGCACTGAATTTTCAGGCTGCCAAACTAGTGTCTTCCAGCACTGCTTTGCGGCTGTGGAATGGTGATTTGTGGATCCACCATGAGCAGGCTGGTTGGAATTTGGTTTGTGTTTAGTGAGGAGATTGCAAGAAAAGGGATGAAGGGTCAGCAGCTTCTTCTTATGGTCGTAAAGACATTGGGAACAAGGCTTTGTAATTTGAGGTGCTGGAACAAGACAGGAACGAGATGGTGAGCAGAGTGCTTGGCCAGGAATTAATCTGATAGGCAGGAAGGAGCGAAACATGACTGAGAGTTTGGAGTTAAATGCCTAACCTTTTTGCAGGCTGCAGATACCTTGGCTGTGCGACAGAAGCGACGGATCTACGATATCACAAATGTCCTGGAAGGCATTGGGTTGATTGAGAAGAAATCCAAGAACAGTATTCAGTGGAAGTGAGTGACAACAGAAGGTCTAAATTGTTCACAGGTTCCTTCTAAACTAGGTCTGAGTAACACTGAGGTTAAAATGTGCTGCTCAGACCAGGTTCCTCAGTGATGTCTGCATGCTGGTACTTCCCCCAGCTGGGCTATGCTGATGGTAGTAATGAGGAAAGCTGAAGTACTTATGGCATGTCTTTTTTACAGCAGATCTGTTATTTTGACACAAACTAAGTGTTTGCAGCACTTTGGGCTAGAAAAGATGCCTGTTGTGGGACTGGAGGTGGGCAAGAGCCCTGCCAGTCTGCAGGGAAGATATACGAAACATAGCAGTGCTGGGAGCTGGGGATCTAGAGCAGGTACAGATGAGGCTTTCTGGGTGATCTGGCCTTTGGCATGTGACAGGGGTGGCAGTAAGAGAGGTGGCAGCCGTCTCTGAGAGGTTGGGGCTGGTGTGGGTGCCTGCAGGGCCTGATGCATGTTACTCCTTTTTACATTGCCCAGAGGGGTGGGTCCTGGCTGCAACACACGTGAAATAGCTCACAAACTGATCGAGCTGAAGGCAGACATAGAGGACCTGGAGCAGCGGGAGCAGGAGCTGGAGCAGCAGAAGATGTGGGTTCAGCAAATGTTACAGAAGACATGCAGAACAGTCGATATCCTTTGTGTGAACTGATTACTGCATTCTCTTGTGCGGCTGAAAAACAGATACCTGAGGGCTGGGTTGGTGCCACCCTGCTCAGGGCAGAGGAGCGGTGGTGACCTGTTGCTGCTGGAGAATCTGTACTGAAAGGGCCAAGAGGCAGTGCCTGGCTTTGGAATTGGGGTAACTGCAGCCTGGGAACCAACTCTCTCTGGGGTGCATGGCTCCTTGCCTGGCTTTTTGAAGTAAAACCACTGTAATGTTTACCATAATGAGAAAAGTGCTTCTCTCTGAGTCCCACGTGCCACTTCCCCGAGGGCAGAGCTGTTCCTCTGGCTTGCCTCTCTTAGGATGTCAGCTCTGAGGAGCATGTAACTTGCAGACCTCACCTGCAGACCATTTCAGAGCGTGGCACAGGGAGCCTTCTGGGAATGGTGTTTCTTGTGCTCAGGAGGGAAGCACAAGGTGCCCTTTGAGTTCTCTGTCTGCACAGGAAGCTGCAGTCTTTCTCCTTAACCTTGGAAACATTAGCGTATGTGACACATGAAGATATCTGCAGATGCTTCACAGGTGAGGAAGTGACATTCCATCATAAAGATGTAATGCTGCAGTCCTGGCAATCTGTCCCATCTGCTTTCCTCTTTCCAGGGAACAGGAGGCAGGGGACCGTAGGCTGCCAAACAGCATCAGGTTAAATGTAGTGTGAGCTCTGATGCCATCCTGGTTTTGTGTAGCACTAAGTTGTAGCTTTCTTGTCACCATCAGAGCAGGCAGGTGGTTTCTGTTACAGGAACATGGCTGCTATTCCTAAGGAAGTCTTTTTGCTGGGTGTCACTATGTGGATGTGTGTGTGTTAAGTTAGAAGCCCTTGATTTTATGGGCTTGGGTGGACAATGTTCTAATAAAAGAAAGCAAATTTTATTCCATGCTAGAGATCTGGGTGTAAGCAAGAAGACAGTATAAAAAATGGTCCCTCAGCTGCAACATCTCCTCTACCAATAATGCACGAGGGAAGGAGTGAAGAGCAGGATGGAGGGGAATACACTGCTTGCTGTGACCTCACTCCCTTCTCTACTGCCTTTGTAAAGCAGTGAGGTCCCTGTATGTGTCTCTGTGGGGCAGAAGTGAAGAAGACTCACAGGAATGTCTCTTTCTTCTCTATTGCCAATTTTAATGCCAGCTGTAGGACCAAAACCAAATTAAATTATTCCCTGGTGGCCAGTGTGCAGCTTAGCAGCCTGCAGGATGTCAACTGTTCTTCTTGGTATAGTGGTGTGGAGTCACAGCTCCTTTCTGCTTCAGTGGACACCTCGCCTCTCCTGACCATGGGCAGCCTGCATCTGCTTGCCTGAAGCAGAAATTGAAGCTGCTTACCCTGACCTCCCACATGTAATCTCATCCTTGTCTCTTCTGAGCATTCTTCATCAGCTCTTCTATTTTTCATCTTTGCCTTTGTGTGCTTTCCTTGTTCACCACCAGGCTTTATACTGCTCATGTTCTTGCTGGTACCATATGCAATCACCATCTTTGCTTTACTGTTTCTTCTAACTTGAAGCTAGGACTTTTGGGGGCAGGGATTGTTTTTTCAATTTGACAGTGCTTGGGGCCAGATAACTCTTCCAGATTGTTCTGAGTTTACTGGAGACCAGCAGACAGTTTGTTGCTTGGTTGATTAAGTGTTTTGCATTTTATTGCACCTGGTTTTTGTAAAGCAGTTTGTGTTTGAAGTTAGACCTCACCAAAACACGCAGAGATTAGAAAGCAGATCTGAATTCCCTCCAAAAGAGAGGCTTGATTCATGTTTTTCCACTGTCTGTTCAGTTTTCTTGTAAGAATGTGCCTTACATGACTTTTGTTCTCTCTCCTGAGCATATGAGCCTTGCAGAGGTTCCTTGTTGGACCGCTTGTGTTCTTGAACTGTGGTCAAGTTTGAATTTCAGCTCTTGTTTTTTGTGATTAATTGCTATTGAACTGGCTCTCTCAAAGTGAGTTAGGGCTTGAGAATTTCCGTGCTTGGACTCTCGTCAAATGAATTCATTACTTGGATTAATTAAAAAGAGAATAATTAAGAATATATTAGTTTTTAGTGACATTGAAATCTAATGTTCACATCTGTTGCTGTGATTGCAGAATCAAAGAGGAAATGGAAACACACTGTACACTGTTTTGTAAAAGTATTTGGGATGTAGCTATCGGGGGAGGTACAAACACAGCACCTGTGTTTGAAACTAACAGGCCTTAAAGCTTGAGTGTGTGTCTTTGAGCTTTAGTATGCATTGATGTCTCTTAACAACATTTTTCATAAGTGCAGATTTGTTAAAGGAATCTCATCCTACTGACAAGTCCTGTGTTATTTTGAATCCCTGTAGTCTTTGATGATCTGACCTTTGATTGCCCGCCTGAAATTAAAGGCTGTGCTCCTCTGCTCTCCATTCTCTCCCATTGCTCCAAGGATCTTCTGTATTACAAGTGAAGCTAATGCAGACTACTAGTGACGTGCAAATACTAACCACACTAAAGCTGAAACAATCAAAGTTAAAGCTGAAACAATCAAAGTTAAAGCTGAAACAATCAAAGTGAAAGCTGCTAACTGCTTAGTCTGAGTGTGTCTAGTGTTCACAGCTGGTATTTCTCTGTTCACATTTCTCTAAACCCGAATATGGACTGGAAGCTGCTCACTTGTGATTGTGTTAGTAGGGACACAGATCTTAAAGAGCTGCAGAACTTGAAGACGAAAGATGTTGTCAGCCTGGCTCCCAGCCCTGCATGTGCTTGGCTCTCTGCAGGGTCCAATACAACTAGCACCAGGCAGCTGTCCTGCCAGTAGAGACTGGGGAGTGTTGGGTTTGGGTACTGGGTCTCCAGCATGAGGTTGCTATGCTGTTAGCAGCCCAGCTTATCAGACTAGTTCAACACCATCAATCTGCTGGCAGTGCAGCTCTTGGAGTTGTGTGCTTTTTTGTTGCTAATTCATATCTAAAAGCTTGTGACAGTAGGATGAAAGAGCCTTCCTCCAATATTCATATGTTCTCAGAAGTGAATTTAAGCCAGCCTTTCTGAGGAAAAGAGAGGTTAGTCCTGTTAAAGATGCTACTAAAACACTATGATTGCTTTAGGAGAAATTTTGCACGTTCTTTGAGCCCTGGGCAGTTGGGCATGCTGGGACCTGTTTGATATGCTTAGCAGCTCAGGTGGGTGTAAATGGCAATCCTGTCGAGGTGGGGAGCTTTGAGGAGGGGCTCTTTGTCAGTTCTCAATGATCATCAGTCTGTTTCCACAGGAGACACCCTCCTTGCGATTCGAGCTCCATCAGGCACACGTTTGGAGGTGCCCATCCCTGAGGTGAGAAATGCATGGGAAGAGTGCAGGAGTGTGCTCTTGTGTGTGTTGGAGCAGGGGTTGTTGCTGGATTGACCAGGCTGAGAGTCAGAAGTCAGGGATGTTGATGGAGTTAGAGAAACCGACAACCCAAGTAAAGCTCCAGATACTAAATAATTGCCAGGAAACTGTTATTTGGAAGTATGTGAGTACTTGCAGGAGCAGTGGGGGAGAGGATGGTCCTCAGAGTCAGGGGAGTTATGTGTGGAACAGTGCCGAAGTGTCTGGACAACATGTTTTGGAATCACAGCCTGGTTTGTGTTGGAAGGGACCTCAAAGCTCACCCAGTTCCAACCCTCTGCCACAGTCAGGGACACCTTCCACTAGGGCAGGTTGCTCCAAGCCCCATCCAAGCTGGCCTTGAACGCTGCCAGGGATGGGGCAGCCCCAGCTTCTCTGGGCAGCCTGTGCCAGGGCCTCAGCACCCTCACCGGGAAGAACTTCTTCCTAAGATCTCATCTCAATCTCCCTCTTTCAGTTTAAAACCATTTCCCCTCATCCTGTCACTACATACCTTTGTGAAAAGTCCCTTTTAGATGTCTTGCCTCTGCAGAATTCCTGTTCTGTTTGTAAAGGGCATTTCATGTACAGTTGTGTTTTGCTTTTGACTTTTTTCAGGGCCTAAATGGGCAGAAGAAATACCAGATCCATCTGAAGAGCACAAATGGTCCCATTGATGTTCTCTTAGTAAACAAAGATACTTGGAGCTCTCCTCCTGTTGTACTACCTGTCCCTCCCCCTGAAGATCTCATTCAGTGCCAGGCAGTTGCAGCTTCAAAACCACCAATCCCACCAGTTGCCCACTTCCAGGAGACATCCACCGAGCCCTCTACTCCAGCATCTACCAGCAGTCAGGAGCACAGCCCTCCTGCACAGAATTCCACAAGCACAGGTGAGAGGGAGGCTACAGGAGGCAGAAACAGGATGGGGGCTGACAAGGAGTGTATGTTCCTCAGCCTGGGTGGGGCTGGCACTGCTGGTCATACAGCTCTGTCAGCTCCTGGCAAAGGGGGCATCTCTGCGTTTGCTGCAGTGAGGCTCTTGTGTCTTCATTAGTGGAACTGGCTATGGTAATGGAAGAAAGACACTTGGGTTCATGGGGTGGTGCCAACCTGAGGAGCACTGGTGGGGAGAGACCAATCATGCGGATTGGCAGAAGTTTGTAAAAGGGTCTTTTTGAGTCTCAAGTTCAACTTTCAATTTGAAAAAACACTTTGCTAAAAATACTATATTAGGTTGGTTGTGGCTTTGTCCAGCTGAATTTTGAAAGCTTCTAGCAGTGGAAATCTCCATCTTCCTTGGTGAGCTCTTCTAGAGCTGCAGCATTCTCTCAGCAAATTTCTTTTTCCAGATACCTGGATGCTCTTGGCTGCATCTTGTGCCTGTTGTGCATGTTAATGTTGTTTGGCACCACTGAGAAGTTCTTAATTTTTGTACCTGCCTTTCAGGTAGTTGCAAGATTCTTGATTGCAATTTGAGCTGCAATTCTAAGATTGCCTGTAGACTTCTCTTTGCCTGAATGAACAAGCCCAGCTCCCACCCCCTCATTGTAGGCCATGTGCCCTATACCCCTGGCCAACTTGGTAGCCCTCAGCTGGATCTTCTCCACATCTTTCTTGAACTGGAGGATGGCCAAAGCTGCACCCAATATCCCAAGTGCAGTCTTGGTGCCGAGCAGCATAGTAACTTCCCTCAATGTGCTGGCCATGCTTCTGGTGTAGCTTACTGCTTGGCTTGTGTTAACTGCTTAAGAGCATGTTTTTGGCTTATGTGCAGCTTGGCACCACTATGACTGCTCTCCAGCAGAACTGCAGCAGGGAGGTTTTGCTGTGTGAAAGCAAGAAGCCTTCTTTCTGTGCAGCTTGGCCAGCATTGCAGTGAGGATTGAATCTGCTGCAGCTTGCTTTGGGGCTGGTGGGAGATGACGTTCCTGTGTGTGTCTGTGGCTCTTCCCAGAATGCATTGTCTCAGCGGCAGAGTCCAAGAGCAGTGATGACTTCGATCCCATTGGGAATGTCTCTGTGTCGCCCAGCCAGGTGGCTGGGTTGGACACCCAGCCGCTCCAGTCCTCTGCCTCATTGGACAGCAGCTCCATCCTACCCAGCCCCTCCACTGCCTTTGAGCCCATCAAGCCCGACCCCACGGAGAGTGAGTATGCACTCTTCTTTCATGGGTTGCTCCAAAAGCATCCTATTCGGAGTGAGTGAATGGCTGATGTGCATGGAGGAAGGAGCTGGACTCCATTCTGCCTTTGCTGTCAGCCACACTCTGCAAGGGATGAGTAGGCACTTCCCTGTGAGGTTGCAGGGGAAGCTGGTGAGAAGGGGATTGTGTTGTATGTAGTGTCTTGCCACTTTCTGTTATCATAGAATCCCAGCCTGGTTTGGGTTGGAAGGGACCTCAAAGCTTACCCAATTCCAACCCTCTGCCATGGGCAGGGACACCTTCCACTAGACCAGGATGCTCCAAGCCCCATCGAGCTGGCCTTGAACGCTGCCAGGGATGGGGCAGCCACAACTTCTCTGGGCAACCTGTGCCAGGGCCTCAGCACCCTCAGAGGGAAGAACTTCTTCCTAAGATCTCACCTCAGTGTACGCTCTGTCAGGTTAAAGCCATTCCCCCTTGTTCTGTCCCTACAGACCCTTGTCCAAAGCCCCTCTCCAGGTTTCTTGTCAGCCCTTTAGGCACTGGAGCTGCTTTAAGGTCTCTCCTGAGCCTTCTCTTCTCCAGGCTGTCAGTACTAGAAAATATGCAAGGGACACTCACTTGATACACATTTCTGCTGTTATGTGTAGGATTATTCCCTTTCAGTCCCTTCTGTGCACAAGTTTCAATTTTTGTGATTGCGTGAAGCTATAGAATTTGCAGCCATCACTGAGAGCACCTTTGTGTTTTCAGTGGTAGAAGAGCTCTCGTCCCCGTTTTCCTCCTTTACTTTGGAATACTTCCTCTGTCTTTAGTGATCTTGTGGTCTTAATGATCTTGCAGTGTAGATTTGAGGAGCTTCTTGGTGTGCTTGGTGAGGCAAAATGGGCTTTAAAAAAGGAACATTAGAGCTTTATGCCAGGAAATGGCAAGCTGGTCCAAGGAGATAAAAGCATCTTCTAGGTAAGACATACTGCTATAATGTTTTGAAGCCTACCTTCAATGGAGAAACACTCTAGATTAGAAGGTTGTGGTTAGAAGAGGAAATCTTACCAGTGCTTCTTTCATACTTCTGCTGCTAGTGTGTCCAAGAAGCATGAAATGTCTGTCTTGATCTTAGAGAAATCTTAATTGTGGAATTAGGTCTTTGATGTGCATATAGTTTACCATATTCCAGCAGGCCTGTGCTGCCTCTCTAAAGGCATGTCCTCATCCTACACCAGATAAATCAAGGGGGTGCACACAAGCTGACACTATGTGAGGCTTACATACAGGCAATTACTCTGGGGATGCTGACTGTGATAACATGTTCATGTCCGGGGGCTCCTATAAGGTTATTTTAAAGTGGTCAAACTTTAGTATCGTATTGTTATCATTTCAGCAGAAATATGTAACATTGGATGTGGGAGCAGAGCTCTGAATGGCATAGGATGATTTGGGTGTGTAAGGAGTACAGCAGGATAGTAGGTGATTATGCTTTAAAGCTTCAGACTGTTCATGTAATGATGCAAACTGTTCGGTTGATTGTATTTGCAGTCTTGGAACTTCCCAAAGAGCTGTCAGAGATGTTTGATCCAACAAGAGGTATGTTCACTCCCTGACCTCAGCTTTATTCTGCTCCCATCTACCTGCAGAAGTGGGACATATTTGTTTTATTCACTCCCTTTTGGATTATTTCAGATTATTTTGGATGTGGTTTTTGTAGGGTGCTTGTGGTCTTTGGTGGCTGCTGGCTCTACTCATAGTTAGGCACTCTTAAAATTGCTGTTTTCTTTATGTATTTTTCTGTCTTTGTGTTGCCAGCAACCTCTCCTAGAGTTTGCCCAACAGTGTGAACACAATGGCTTTCCTGTCCCTGTGCCAACACTGATCTGGGCTCTGGCTGCTCATGCTCCTTTTGCAACTCATCTGCACCATGTAAAATTAAAAACCCCTGTTACTCTTGTTTCAGCTGTAGCTTGCCCAAGGCTAATCCAAGCTAATACTCTAGGGAGATAGCCTTCTGTGATCTAAATCCCTCTGGCTTTGGTGGTGTTGGTAGTTTTGGAGCAGTAGGGGATGGGATGCTGTTACTTATGTTAGGAGTTCTGCCCCTGTCCAAGGAATGTCTGGGTGTTGCTTCCTAATGGCAGGATGGATGCTGGGCTAAGGGCAAGAGAGGTGAAGGAATTTGGTCTTACATAAGCCTAAAGTGTGGAACTCTTTTTATCTGCAGATTTATTTCTTCTCAGTGCTGTTGGAATACTTTCTAGCCCCGCTGCTAGGCAGATCTGAGCACAAACCAGCACTTTAGTGGTGGTCCCAGGATATGTACAACAGTCCTAGTTCAGTGTTCTCGCACATGCTTTGTGAAAATGCTGCCTTTGTGTAAAAATTCCCTAGTCCCAAATTCGAGGCTCCAGCCTGTGTGTGAGGAGCCCTGGGTTCTACAGTCAGCCTGGAGATCTCCTTTCCTCCTTACCCATTACCCAGAGTGGATGAACTCTTGGTAATGCCTGAGTACATCTGAAGAGTAAGTTTGACTTTGCAATGTGAGACATAAACTGCTGCAAGGCCCCAGATGGCGTAGAAGATGTAGCTTAACCCCAACTGACACTACGAAGAAGATGCTTGCTGTCTACGGTAATTTGTGTTGTTGTATGGAGTATTTCTCCCAGTTTGGAGGGGGAAGGTAGAAATCCAGGAGTGAAGGACAAAACAGAGTCAGTAGCTACAGAGGCAAAGCTCAGGACTGGGAAAAAAAGCCAAACTCCAGAGGTCAGAGAAATGGGCCTTGCAGGAAGCTCCATGCAGCCTCTTTCCTCCCAGTAATCGCAGTAATGCTGCCCAAGCACTGGCGGCTGCTTTAAGGCAATTTAAGCTGCAAGAGCCTGGAGTTCTTCTTTAGTGTTTTATATTGGAATTAATTTTTTTTCCATGCTTTTCTGTGTTTTAAATGAGTGCTTAAGAACTGCTTGTTTTAAACTCGTATCCTGGTAAAAAACTGAATTGCAACACACACATGTACACACACCCCTGTATTATCAGCCCTGATCTAAGAAGGCAGGTTCTGCATTTAATTGTTATTTATTGGAGATGGTATTAGTCCTGTTTAGTCACTTGGTGTTGGAATTCTCTGCTCTCATGGCACAGAATTAGCCGGGTGGGTTCTTGTCCTCTAGTAAGTAGCCTCCTGTGGATTAGTGTCTTGAAAATGGGCTCGTCTGAGTTTCTTTTGTGAAAGCTTATTTCAAGCATGGTGAAAACAACTCAGACTGAATTAGAAGTTCTCTGGGCAACCTGTGCCAGCACCTCAGCACCCTCACAGGGAAGAACTTCTCCCTAAAATCGCATCTCAATCTCCCCTCTGTCAGGTTAAAGCCGTTCCCCCTTGTCCTGTCCCTACAGGCCCTTGTCCAAAGCCCCTCTCCAGATTTCTTGTAGCCCCTTTAGGCACTGGAAGCTGCTCTGAGGTCTCCATGGAACCTTCTCTTCTCTAGGCTGAAGAAGCCCAGCTCTCTCAGCCTGTCTCCAGAGCAGAGCTGCTTCAGCCCGTGCAGCATCTCTGTGGCCTCCTCTGGACTCACTCCAACAGCTCCACATCCCTCCCATGTTGGGCCCCCAGAGCTGGGTTTTCCAGGAAGGCCATGCAGAGTTCAGCTGTGCAGTCTGTTTGGCAGCTGGCAGCCAGTGAATCTGCCAGGGCATATGACTGGATTAGGCAATGGGCCAAGGGGAGCAAATCAGGGGGACAAAGAACAAAAATGTGGAGGAGGAGACAGGAGGTTTATTAGTTTTCCTGCTCCTGGAACATCTCATTTGTTTTTTATTTTTTTTCTCACGCTTAGCAAAGTTGGTGTGTAATTGAGGATTGTGAATATGGGCTCTACCAGCTCAATTTCAGATGCATGTTGAAGAGTTGCCTATGGAGGAGTTCAAGGCACCAGCTAGCATGCCAGTGCAGGGGTAGGGCACAGCCTGTCACCTGGAGGACACTGGTGTGTGGTTGAGCTAAAACAAGCAGAAACCTGCAGAATTTTTTGATATAGCTTGAACTGTCTGTCACCAATTTACCTTTGCCCATGGCAGGAGTCCCCCTTTGCTACTGCCTGCTGCGCACACTGTGCCTTAGCTGGAGAAGGGACAACAAGGGTGAGGAGTACCCTGGGAAGGGTGGGGAGAACTACCCAGCAGCACAGTACGACAGCAGATTGTGTGGCTTAACCATGCTTATCTCTTCTCCAGAATGTATGAACTCTGACCTGCTGGAAGAACTGATGTCATCTGAAGGTGAGTCTTTAAGCCTCCCCTTCATGGTGTGGCCTCTCCACGGGAGGAAGACCATGCTGTGGGACTTCAGCCTTGTGGCTGCAGACTTACCCTTATCTTTTCTGGGCTCTGGACATGGCCTCTGTTCTCACTGTCCTGCCAGTCCCTGAAAGAGGTGGGAGAACCAGGAGAGCTTGTCTCCTCCATATCACAAGGCTGATTTGAAGCAACCTCAAAGACTTACTGTGAGGTAGCCTCGTGGCTCTGCAGCTCAGTGCCCACTGGCAGATCTTGGCTAGGTGTGGGAGTGCTGGGCTTCATAACCAACTGTGAGCTTCTCTTTCCCCAGTGTTTGCTCCCTTGCTCCGCCTCTCCCCTCCACCTGGAGATCATGACTACATCTACAACCTGGATGAAAGTGAAGGCGTCTGTGACCTCTTTGATGTGCCTGTCCTCAACCTTTGACTCCTCAGTGCAGCTGTGAGCCTCACAAACACAGACCCTTTTGTAACTCTTTTGAAAGTGTCTATTTTTGGATTCCTTTTGTGCTAGAGCTTGATGAGTGAGCGATTCAGAGATGCTCTTTTACGGACTCAGAACCAAGAGATGTGGATTTGCAGGCTGGGTGCCTTCCTGTAGCTTCTTCCTCTATTGTACGTGCAAAGCGCACGTCCAACTTGCCCTGCCACATCTCTCTCTCCATTGGATTCTGGGCCTCGCTTCAAGGGGTCTGTGTTTTGAGTGTTCCTAGTTCATTTGTAGAGTTTGCCCACGTGCCTCTTTGAGCTTCCTCAGATCTGCATGCCTTTGTTTTTTCCTGCACTCCCAGAGGCACTTTGCACCTCCTGGGTATGACAAGGAGCCGTAATAGCATGGTCAGTTAACAAACCCGGAGGTAGTTAGCTACATTTCTCAATGTGAGCAGGTCAGATTGGGGTGGTTGTATTTCTGAATGAAGAGGGGGAAAAAAAAATGGCACCAAAAACTAGTACGTTTTACAAGAAAAAGCACTTTTTTTAGTCAGCTGTGCCTCCCAGTGGGACTCAAGAGCATTCCTGGGAGGACTCAGGAGCTGAGTTGGTCCCAGCTTGTGTGTCAGCAGGAGCGATGCTTGTTGGTTCCGTGTCAGCAGCAACGCTGCTTCTGTGTTCGCCAGTCTGCTGAGGCGAGAGCCTGGGGTTCCAGCTCCTTGTACACAGCTGGGCTGATCCTACAGGTCTAAAGAAGAGGTGCCGGTATGGTTCATTTTAATTTTTATTTGGTTTTGCCTGATTGAAGAGATGTTGGAAAGGATAAGACTGCTCCAGCTGGTGCCTGTAAGGTACTCGAGGTACATCAGAGCCTGCTCATATTTGCAAATAGCTGTATTCTCCACCCATTGCACTTGAGCCTTCAACTGTCTAAAGGCGACCAAGCAGTAACCATTCAGTAGTACTTGCTGTGGTAAGTTATATAGGTGTTGTCATAATAGTGCTTTCCTCTCCCCACTTTTTCTCTCTCAGCATCTGCTCAGGATCAGGCTTTCTCTATATTTGATTTCCTCCTCTACTGTCCATATCCACACTTCCAGTTCCTGGTCCTGTGGCAGGATCTTTACCTAGCGTGATGCTTTCTCTGCATCATTTTTCCTCAAGATGTTCTTCCTTGTTTTGTAATGGAAGGTCTGCTGTTGGTTTTGTTGCGGTGATCGGGTGGTACTAGTCTTGGACCGTGGGCAGTTTAGGTGGAGTAAAATGCCCTGATGGATTTGTGCTGTATTTTGCAAGCTCCAGCTTTTGGATTTCGGTCAGATCCTGCATTTAAGTGTATTCAGTTTTGCACATCTTCCTGCCAACATAGTGGTAGCAGCTTTCCTGCCTTTCCTCATCCACAAACTGTGAAGAGAGTTCCAGGCCAGGAGCATGGGCCTTGCAGAGAGGGTGCTTGCAGCCATCCATGTAACCAGCTGATGTTTAACTTCTCCTGTTAACCAGAACCACAGCCAGCTCGAGCACCAGCAGTAAGGGATGTCAAGTCTTCAATTCTTGTTGCAGAGGTGACAAGAAATACATGCCTGGTACCTGCATCTCTGAGGTGGCTCCTTGGACGATCCGTGTGGGTCTCCTCCAGAAGAGCTGGAAACAGGATGGTTTCCCGGACCATCTCTCTGCAGCCCCATCCTCTTCAGGAAAGGCATGAAGAATCCAGGAGGAAAAAGGGGATGCTCTAGTTTGAAGCAGGCAGCAGCTGCCAGTGAGGCAGCTGTGGTGTGGGACCTGGGCAGTAATCTTCCAGCATGTAGCCAGTCTCATGGAAGCCGGCTGGGATGCCCCGGTCCTGCGTGTGTTAGCTAGGCTCAGTAGCTTTGGTGTAGCTCGAGCTGTTGGCTTGGCTCTTGCCCTCCTTTCCAAGCATTTGTGTTAAGACGACCCTCGGAAAAAGGATACCTAGGGAAAATAATGAACTTTTCATATATAAAGATTATTTTTATACTTCTTTTTTTCTTTTTGCAAGGAAAGAAAATTGCCTGTAATATTTGTACAGTGTTCTTCTCTGAGGTGAATAAACAAAAACACTTTCCAGAGACTCCTTTGCTGGCCTGGCTTTCTTTCGTCTCCCCCTTGGGGGTGCCAGCCCTGCCGTGGGGCCGGGCACTGCCCTGGGCGGAGCCGGGCGCTGCCCTGGGAGGTGGGTCGCACCGAGTTCGCGTCAGCTCAGGTGAGGGGGACGGGCCTGCTCGGAATGGGGCAGGGAACAGGGCTGGGAAGTGGCGGCAGCAGGGCGTCAGGGCCTA